ATGAAGATCAGATTCACTTAAAAGCAAAAAACTGTCAGGCTGGCATGGCTCAGTGGTTGAGTGTGGACCTATGAACCAAAAGGGGTCAGTTCGATTCCTGGTCAGGGCACCTGCCTGGGTTGTGGGCTTGATCCCCAGTCTGGGGTGTGCAGGAGGCAGCCAATCAGGATTCTCATCATTGATGTTTCTACCTTTCTCTTCCTTTCTGAAATTAATAAAAATATACTTTAAAAAAAGAAAAAGAAAACATAACACTTCTTTATACCCACCCAAGCAGCAGCACTGAAATATATAAAACTACTCACAGAACTAAAGGGAGAAATAAACCATTGACAGCTCTAGACAGATCAAACAGACAGAAAATTATTAAAGAAATATTGACCTGCCCTAACTGGTTTGGCTCAGTGAATAGGGCATTGGAAGCTTGTAGACTGAAAGGCCCTGGGTTCGATTCCAGTCAAGGGCATTTGCCTTGGTTGCGGGCACATCCCCAGTAGAAGATGTGCAGAAGGCAGCTGATCAATGGTTTTCTCCCATCGATGTTTCTAACTCTCTATTCAGCTCCCTTTCTCTCTATAAAAAAATCAATAAAATTTTTTTTAAAAAAAGGAAATATTGGCCTTAAATAAAACACTAGACCAAATAGACATAACATTTACAGAACCTTTCATCACAGAGCATCAGATTGTACATTTCCCCCCAGTGCATAGCATTCTCAAAGATTAACCATATATTGGGTCACAAAACTAGCATCAACAAATTCAAGAAGATTAAAAGTTTACCAAGCATGTTCTCTGACCACAATGCCTTGAAATTAGAAATCAAATGCAAAAATGAAGTAAAGAAACCCACAAAAACATGCAGATTAAACAACATACTACTAAAAGATGACTGGGTTAAAGAAATAAAAGTTGAGATCAAAAGATACAGAGACTCTAGCCAGTTTGGCTCAGTGGATAGAGTGTCAGCATGCAGACCAGAGAGCCCCGATTCCAGTCAAGGATGGGGACACACCTGGGTTACAGGCTCCTCCCCAGATCAGGAGGGGCTCATGCAAGAGGCAACCAATCGATGTGTTTCTCTCACATTGATATTCTGCCTTCCCCTCTCTTTTACTCTTCCACTCTCTCTCTAAACAAAACAAATGCCCTAACTGGTTTGGCTCAGTGGATAAGAGCATTGGCCTGCAGAGTGAAAGGTCCCAGGTTAAGGGCATGTACCTTGGTTGTGGGCGCATACCCAGTGGGGAGTGTGCAGGAGGCAGTGATCAATGTTTCTCTCTCATCAATGTTTCTAACTCTCTAACCTTCTCCCTTCCTTTCTGTAAAAAATCAATAAAATATATTAAAAACAAACAAAAATTCCCAAAAAACAAAAGTCCAGAACCTGATGACTTCACCAGTGAATTCTACCAGACATTCAAAGATTTAAAACTATCCTTCTCAAAGCCTGAAAAAGATAACACACACAAAAAAAAACTACAGCCGAAACCGGTTTGGCTCAGTGGTAGAGCGTTGGTCTGTGGACTGAAAGGTCCCAGGTTTGATTCCGGTCAAGGACATGTACATTGGTTGCGGGCACATCCCCAGTAGGGGGTGTGCAGAAGGCAGCTGGTCGATGTTTCTCTCTCATCAACGTTTCTAGCTATCTCTCTCCCTTCCTCTCTGTAAAAAATCAATAAAATATATTTAAAACAAACAAACAAACAAACAAAAAACTACAGACCAGTATCTCTGATTAATACAGATGTAAAAAACCTAAACAAAATACTAGCAAATTGAATACAACAGTACATCCAAAAAATAATGCATCACCATCAAGTGGGGTTCATTCAGGGGCACAAGAATGGTTCAATGTACATGAGATGTAAGGAAAAGAGGAGTCAAAATTACTCCGAGGATTTTGAATTTAGGTTCAAACAGAAGTCGAGCTGCCATCTGCAGACAGGAAGATGGTGGGAAGAGCAAGTTGAAGGATGAGATCTGTTTCAGGTCACATCTCCAATTCTTGATGATCTGGAGCTCAGGAGACAGGCCTAGAGATGTTAATAGTTAAAATACAGCCGAAACCGGTTTGGCCCAATGGATAGAGCGTTGGCCTGCGGACTCAAGGGTCCCGGGATCGATTCCGGTCAAGGGCATGTACCATCGATGAAAGAGTAACATCGATCAGCTGCCTCCTGCACACCCCCTTGTCTCCTTTACAGCTTAAAAAATGCTATGTGCTGTATCTTTAAAGTTTATTCAAAAGCCTGGATTTGCTTTTGGCCTGGCTTCTAAGACACCATCCTCTCCTACCTCACTGACTGCTCCTCATCTTGCTGCCATTGGGGGTGTGCGGGAGGCAGCTGATCGATGTTACTCTCTCATCGATGTTTCTAACTTTCTATCCCTCTCCCTCCCTCTCTGTAAAAAATCAATAAAACATATTATTAAAAAAAAAAAAAAAAAAAGTTAAAATACAACTTGATACTTTACGTTGAGAAACTCCCCATAGCTGACTTGGCAGTGAGAACCAAGGGACAGCAAGATGAGGAGCAGCCAGTGAGGTAGGAGAGGATGCTGTCTTAGAAGCCAGGCCAAAAGCGAATCCAGGCTTTTGAATAAACTTTAAAGATACAGCACATAGCATTTTTTAAGCTGTAAAGGAGACAAGGGTAAAACCCAAATACAATTCTGAGGCCTGAAATGAAAATGAGCCAGTTTCACCAAGCCTGGGCTTCTAGAGATAAAATCAGGAAATGTTTCATAAAAGGCAGGTGAAGGACACCCGTTGTATTAACCGTGTTAACATTATATTTTGTTAACATTTTGTGTTAACAGGAGAAGAGAGAGTACTATTGAGGGCCAATTGCTCCCTTCTTAGGAGAGGCTCATCCAGGCAAAGTGACGTTGAGTAGCTACAGCTGGCGGAGCAGTTGGGTACATTAGTTAATGATTAAATGAAATACCTGACACCTATTAAGGACAAGACAGTCTTACCTTCTCCCCATATTAGATCCCCACAAAGTAGTGACCATAGTCTTATTTTATAGATTAAAAAAGGCTAAGTGACAGCATGTGAGTAGTTAAGGGCTTTACTTTTTTTTCTTTTTTCCAAAAAGTTTCTTGATTTTAACAAGAGGAAGGGAGAGGGAGAGAGACGACACTGATGTGAGAGAGTAACGTAGATTGGCTGCCTCCTGCACCCCCCTGATGGACGGAAGATGGGACTATACCTATCCAACTGAGGCACTCTGGCCTGGGCAAGGATTTTACTTTCTGCATTTGCAAGGAGGGACTTCAAGGCCTTGAAGATCAGAATTCTGGTTTAAACAGTATATATCATACTAACAGTGATACCAACATTACAGGGTAAAGTTTCTACAATGCGATTGGATGTTCATTATTGTATCAAATCTTCCTGTCACCCGCCATGAGTCAGTTGTTATCCTCTGATATTTAGGAAAACAGACTGAGGCAGATTAAATTAAGTGATTCTGTCATTAGTGATGTTTCTCTCTCTTTCCCCCTCTCTTTTCCCCCTGAAATTAATAAAAGCTTATTTTAAAATAACAACAACTACCATGAACTGAACTCTCTCTGTGCTAGGAACTGTGCTAAGTGCTTTTCACCATGTTCTCGGTAAATTCTCACAACCCTTTAGGTAGGTGTCATTAGCTCCACTTTACAGAGAAGGAAACAGGACTCAGAAGGACAGTGACCACACAAGACCCCACAGCCAATCAGTGTCACAACTGGGGTCTGAGCTCCAAGTCTCATCATCCCAAACACAAGTGTGAGGTCACCCCACACAGCTTGTCTTCCTGCGGTGGACCCTTTTCAGAATCCCCCTTCTTTTAGGTAATACAATCCCAAACCTCTGGCTCTTTGCCCCTTGAGTGTGGCTCTTCCACAAAATACCACGGCCTGGGAGAGTCTATGTTGAAGAAGTAGCGTTAGAAGAAGTTTAAGTTTAAAAAACTTGGCTCTCAAAAGAAATTTCAATCGTTGTACTGTTGATATTTGGCTCTGTTGACTAATGAGTTTGTCGACCACTGACCTAGACCAAGGTCCTAAACTTTAGGGGAAGAAGGAATAATAGCAGAATGAATATTTACAGACTGTTTGTTATGTAAACAGTTCTCTTTAGTGTGTTAACTCATTTCATCCTCACATGATTTTCCTTTTACAAATGAGGAAAGTGAGGCACAAAGAGGTTAAGAAACTTGCCCAAGGCCTTTGAGCTGGTAAATGAGGGAGATAAAAGTCCACCCTGAGCCCTAACCGGTTTGGCTCCGTGAATATAGCATCCGCCCGGTTCAATTCCGGTCAAGGGCATGGACCTTGGTTGCGGGCACATTCCCAGTAGGGGGTGTGCAGGAGGCAGCTGATTGATGTTTCTAACCCTCTATCCCTCTCCCTTCCTCTCTGTAAAAAAAATCAATAAAATATATATATTTTTTAATTGTCTACCCTGAAAAAAAGAAGTCCACCCTGAGCTCTGGAGTCTGCGTTCTTAACTCCTAGGTGGAATGGGGAGATCAGGAGATCCTCATGGGCCTGAAGAGGCAGACTAAGCTAGGGTGAGGGGCTAGGAGGCCTGAGAAAAACAGACCTACCTAGTTATTGTGACTGGGAGCAGAGGCCAACCCAGCCCCCGCCCCCTAGGGCCCACCGCACCCACTAGGGGGCAGCAGAACGTTCTTTCCCTGGCAACTGGCTTCCTTGCTGGAAGAAACCAGAGCCTGGGCCCAGAAACCTGGCCGAGCCAGAGTTCTCCAGGTATGAGCAGGGCAGCACTGCAGGCTGTGGCAGTTCGGGGCTGGAATGGGGAAACCCAACTCATGTTCTCACATTAAAGCTCCTCCCTTTAAACCTGCCTCACCCTCAGGATAAATCCCAAATGCCCGCCCTCCCTGCCTGCCACACACCCTAGGCTCATCCAGGCTTCTCCCAGTGCCCCACTCACCCCCTGAGCCACTGAGAGGCCCATTTCTTTTGCCTGGAGACGTCACTCACCTCACCCCTCACTGGCACTGGTCCCAGATAAGCCATCTCTCTACTAACTTTGAGACCTTGGCCAGTCGCCAAAGTATCAAGCTTCCTGTGCCTCAGTTTCCTCACCTGTAAAATAGGACAAATACTACCTATGTTATAGAACTGAGGTGCTTAAAACCGTGTTTGGAGAATAGTAAATGCTACCAAGAGTCAGGGGTCTCTGTTGCCTAACCTGGCCCCTCCCCCACCATGTCTGCATTATGTTCCCAGCTCTGGGCTTCTCCCCCCTGGTGGCTGCTCTCATCTCATAGGACAGGGGCTGCCGGGGGCAGGACCCACGGCTTCTATCTGCTGGAGGCTGAGCCGGAACCAGGTTAGGGATCGGGGTGTGGGACACGTACCTCCTTGTTGTCCACGGGGATCTTGAGTTTCACAACCTCATACTTCTCTTCACCCTCCTCCTCCTCATCCTTCACCAGCAGCACCATCTCCTCTTGCATCTCCTCCTCCTCCACCTCCACCTTCAGCGTCTGCTGTTCGCCAGGCATCTTGGTGTCCTAGGGCGGGCAGCTGGGTCAGAAGCTCAGGACCCACCCCGCACCCTGGCCCTGGCCTTGGTGCAGCCGTGGCTTCTCCAGCCCGACCCTGGGGTCTGGCCCTCTCCCTCCCACCCCAGCTCGGCCCTAGGCACCAGCACTTGCCCGCGACCAGCTCCGAAGACACTCGTTCACCCCACTCATCCCGGCATTCAAGGCCCAGCACAGTTCGAATCTCCAGTGCCAACGAGTCGCCACCCTCCCGCGCTGAGTCACTGCCGGGCGCCTGGGTCGGCGGCCCGGAACTCCAGGGCACGGACGGGAGGCGGGATCGGGGCGGAGACCCTGAGGGGGCGCACTCACCGGCCGCGGGCTCAGCGCGCACGCAGCCCCTGGCCAGCGCTCCCGGCGGTTGGGCGTTCGCGAAGCGTCGGGGGCGGGGCCTCGGGGGCGTCCGGTCATTGGTCGGGACGGCTAGTCCCGCCCCCTAAGGGCGGGACCCGGAGGGCCGGAGCGTCCGGTCCGAGCGGCCCCGGGAGGGTGGAGAGGCCAGAGCCTGTGGTTCCGCCGTTTCCCAGCTCCCAGGGCCCCTGCCGCTGCACCCCGACTTCCCAGGGCCTCGCGGTCCGGTTCTGACCCACCTTCACGGCGTCTGTCCTGTGCGCGGCTCGGAAGTCTCCGCCGCGGCCGAGCACGTCCGCTCCGCCCAGAAGAGGCCACGTGCGCTCCGGCCGGGCCTGGGCCTCTCGCGGGCGCCCCGCCTGGAGGGCGGACCCAGTTTCCTCCTCACCGCTTCCCTTTTCCTGTTTCTCCCCCCTTTGCCTTCTTTTCTCCTTTCCCAGCGACGCCGTTCCGGTCTCACGGACTCCGCATTGCTAGCTGCTTGAATACGCGCTTACGAATCTACGCCCACAAAATACCGCGGCCCGTCCCTGTGCAGTGCCTATGAGGCGCTGGGGTTATGCTGCGCGGGTCACACAACTGATCTCTTAAAAAACTAAATGTAGCCCTAACCGGTTTGGCTCAGTGAATAGAGCGTCGGCCTGCGGACTGAAAAGTATCAGATTCGATTCCTGTCCAGGGCATGTACCTAACCATCCCTCTCCCTCTCTGTAAAAAAACAATAAAATATATTTAAAAAGAACCAGCACTAAAAAATAATAATAATGAAATAAAATAAATGTGTTGGGGTAAAATATCGCCGCCCAAAGTCTGGTCTCCTTTGGACACAGTGTATTTGATCGCCTCTATCCACTTCCTTCTCCCCCCACTACCTTCCCTGGTGTTGTCTGTATGAGTTTGTTGATCTCTTTTTATCTACCCAAAGGCGGGTCCATCTTACGAATGGGCTAGTGGAAGTTCTGGGAAGTAAACTGATTTGCCTAAGTTATATAGTAAAGGTTCTCATGTCAGTACCCTAACCCCACAACCCGGGAGCCTAAGTGGGAAATGGGTATCTCACAGGCCCAATCCAGTGCACAGTAGTACCTTTGACCCTTAGGGTGTTTTCACATTTAAAAATTAGCTTAAAAATAAAAGTTTTTACAGTTTTATTTCTAACATTTCAGAATTTGGATATTTCATTTAAAGGTTCTGTATTTTCCAATTCTCTTGAAAAAGACATCTAATTCTTCATTTTATGGGTCAAAATTGATGAAAGTAGCCCTAACCGGTTTGGCTCAGTGTATAGAGCTCCGCCTGTGGACTGAAAAGTCCCAGATTCCAGTCTGGTCAAGGGCATGTAAACTTGGTTTTGGGCACATCCCCAGTAGGAGATGTGCAGGAGGCAGCTGATAGATGTTTCTGACTCTATTCCTCTCCCTTCCTCTCTGTAAAAAAATCGATAAAAATATTTCAAAAACAAAAATTATTGAAAGTAAAGAGAAATAAATCAGTAAATGTTTAAAATGCTATCTTGCCTCTTCACAACAGCTCTGTGTGTGGATCACTATCTCCCTTTGACAAATGAGAGAACTAAATGTTAGAAAACTTATTTGTTCCAAGTCACACAGCTGGTAAGTAGCAGATTCCAAAGCTCATGTTCTTTCTATTGCACCAAACTATCAGAAACGAGGTTACTCAAGGAAATTGGTAGCAGACCCAGGACTCCAACCAGAGCCTCAGGCCACAGAGCCCAGGGCATAATTTGGATGTTGGGATTAAATCTAGTAGAATATTTGTGCCTCCCCAGATGTAAGCAAAGGTGTTAAATGGCTGAATACTCACACTCAAGATCCCCAAAGTCTTTTTGACTGTGTTCATTCTCTCAAATATTCAGTGAGCCCTACTATGTGCCTGGCACCAGTCTAGGTATTGGAGATGCAGTAGTGAACAAAGCAGACAAAAATCTTGACTACCGGGGTCCTCCTAAGGGTGTAAGAATATGAACAATAATCAAGAGGATTTCAGATCTGATAGGAGAGGATGAGAGGGGAGTGGTGGGTTGGGGGCTTCTTGAATGGGCAGGGAAGGAATCTCTGAGGAAATAATATCCAAGATGCCTTGAATGACGAGAAAGAGTTAGCCATTTGAAACTCTGGAGGAAGAGTGTCTAAAGAGAACTACGGCCTGGCTGACGTGGCTCAGTGGTTGAGTGACAACCTATGAACCAGGTGGTCATGGTTCAATTCTGGGTCAAGGGACATATCCGGGTTGGGGGCTCAATCCCTAGTGTGTGGTGTGCAGAAAGCAACCAATTAATGATTTTCTCTCATAATTGATGTTACTATCTCTCCCTCTCCTTTTCTCTCTGAAATCAAGAATAACAATAAGCCCTAACCGGTTTGGCTCAGTGGATAGAGCATTGGCCTGTGTACTCAAAGGTCCCAGATTTGATTCCAGTCAAGGGCATGTACTTTGGTTGCTGGCAAGTACACAGTGGGGAGTATGCAGGAGGCAGCTGATTGATGCCTCTCTCTCATTGAAGTTTCTAACTCTCTATCCCTTTCCCTTCCTCTCTGTAAAAAATCAATAAAAACATTAATAATAATAATAATAATAAAAGAGTGTGAGAGAGAACTACAGAGGAGTTAAGGTAGGAATGAGTTTGGCCTATTTGAGAAACAGAAGGTAAGTCAAGGAGGGAAATGTGGTATGGAAGATGGAAGTGGGTTAGGCAGGGACTGGTTATGGCTGGAACCCCACCTCTAAAGAGGCCAGGCCTGCTTGCCCTGATTCAGAGTCAGTGGGAGACTGGGCTGGGAGCACTGAAAGTTCCTTCTAGAAGGGCTTCTGCTATGGTAGGACTAAAGAACAGTCCTTTGAAAAGGACATCCATTTGCTCTGCAAACATGGACGAGTATCTACCTAGAAATGGAACTAGTTCCTGTTCTTGAGAATCTCATAGTCTAGTAAAGAAGAATGTGATAAAAATGCATAGGAGTATATATAAATTGATTACACATGAAAAAGAAACAAAAGTTGTCTGACAGATAGAGAGGTGAATAACTGTTGAAGGGAGTGGGTATGGGGTACAGGCCTCACTGAGAAGACAAATGTGAAAGGACCTTCAAAGATGAGTGGGAGTTTGCCAGGTTAACAAAGAGCTAGCAGCTTGAGAGGTGGTCCAAGGACACTTCACCGTAGTATTTAGTGAGGCCTACTGTGTGCCCAGCCCCTTTGCGGACTGGGAGGTAGAAAGTTGAATTTGGGAAAGTCTTTCTCTTCCTCCTTACTCTGCATGTCACACAGTATTTGTCTTCAGCCTCACTAGAACTTCAGGTCTTTTTTATTATTTTTTTTAATCTATTTTTATTGATTTCAGAGAGGAAGGGAGAAGGAGAGAAAAACAACAAAGAGGAGAGAAAATCATTGATCGACTGCCTCCTGCATGCCCCCCACAGGGGATTGAGTCCGAACCTTGGGCATGTGCCCTGGACTGGATTCGAACCCCAGGACACATCCGTCCTCAGGCCATCGCTCTGTCCACTACGCCAAACCAGTTAGGACCCCAGTCATTGTTTACCTCTTCTTTGGAGGGGCCTCTGGATCACACAGAATTCTCTGCTGCTTGTGTGCTTCTAGCATAGTCCTTACCACACTTGAAACCACCTGTTCAATCTTTTGTATAGAAACGGGAGAGACTTGGTCTTATTCATGCTTTTATCCCCAGTAACCAGCACATAGTAGGACGTGCTGTTGAGTGACTATCCTCAGGAAGCTCTAGATGAACTAAGACTTAAGTGCTCCGATGAAGGGGATTCTAACTCAGGTTGGGAGGAAATAATGCTCCAGGTGTTTGGACTGGAGAGGTTAACCAAATAGTGTGTGTGGTGGGGGTGGGGGTGGGGGTGGGGAGGGACATCAATAAAAGGAAACAAAATTTAAAGGCAAAGGGCTGAAACCACACAAGTGGAAGGCGTGGAAAGCCTTGAATGCCAACTAAGGAGTTCTGTTTTATAGGAGACATGCAAAGATAGGCAGGGTTTTTAATTGGGGAATGACATCAGGTGTAATTTCACAAATCCCTGCAGGTGGGTTTCAGGGCCAATCTGCCAAGGAGGGAGACAGGAAAACCAGCAAGGGGGGCCTTCCAAAGCCCCAAAGGCCTCCAGGTAGGCCTATGGGTTTGTGTGCCAAAGCCTCTGAGAACCCCAGGCCTGGATGCACAGCTCTAAGGTTGTGAGTGTGTGTAACAACTTGGCGGGGGGTGAGAGGGGTTGCAGAGGAGGCCGTAGGGGAGTGGAGACTGCACTGTAACAATTTTTTTTTTTTTATCAGTTTCTAGGCAAAGCCTGTCCAACTATTGTGATCTGTTGAGAGCTTTTATCTGGGAACCGCTCCCACATGCAGATGAGCAGAGTCAACCAACCAGTGAAGCAGTGAAAGTCTGTACTTCATTTCTTTTTTTTCTTTTTCTTTTTTAATATATTTTATTGATTTTTCACAGAGAGGAAGAGAGAGGGACAGAGAGTCAGAAACATCGATGAGAGAGAATCATCGATCAGCTGCCTCCTGCACACCCCCCACCGGGGATGTGCCCGCAACCAAGGTACATGCCCTCGACCGGAATCGAACCCGGGACCTTTCAGTCCGCAGGCTGACACTCTATCCACTGAGCCAAACCGGTCCTGTACTTCATTTCTTAGGAGGGTGATCGCCTTGGTCTTTTTTGTCTCTGGCCAGTCATACCCGTTCCTCTCACCCCTTCCTCCCTGTGGACACCCTCCTTGAAAAAGCTAGGAATTGGAGTCAGCTCCTAACCCCTAGGACGTCTGCCTTTTCCAGGGGATAAAGAGACATCCCCTTTCAGCCAAATGATCTATTTCTTTCTTTTTTTTAATTTAATATATTTTATTGATTTTTTACTGAGAGGAAGGGAGAGAGATAGAGAGCTAGAAACATCGGTGAGAGAAACATCGACCAGCTGCCTCTTGCACACCCCCTACTGGGGATGTACCTGCATCCAATGTACATGCCCTTGACCGGAATCAAGCCTGGGACCTTTCAGTCCGAAGACCGACTCTCTACCACTGAGCCAAACCGGTTTTGGCTATGATCTATTTCTTGACAAATATAAAAAAATAGTCAGGGAGGCGGGTTTTCCGGTAGGCACAGCATCAGTGATGGGCCTTCTATGTCAGTTCTAGAGCGGCTGGACACAATTCTCTCTTA